AGTTTGTGCAATTGTGCTAACCTATATTTTTTAGTATAGTGATCCAATTCAAATTATATAAAATCAGAATTTGGATATTTAAAGTAATTTAAAGAATTTCTTATAAATTCTTTAAATTAGATACATAATGCAAATATTTGAAATTAAGAAATCAACAATAAGAAAAGAAATTATTTTTAAAACCCTAATTTTTATCAATGAAAGTAGAATTTGTGTACAAAAAGATATATGAAAAATCTCCTAATTTATTTGATAAATCAAATTTGGTGTTTTAAATCACAATTTTTTTTAATTATTAGAGGTATTTTCATGTATTTAACCATTTGAAGTAAAGCATGCTTCAGTTATTAAAATTAATAAAATGCCCCTAAAATTCTTATTATTCAAATTATCTTCCTCTATAGCTCCACTTCTCTACAACTGTAAATATTAGCACTAAATCACAACTTATAAAATAATAATATATGACCAAAGGATCACATGGGAAGATTCAGCCCAACTGATCGTGCTTCAGCCGATATCTGCTACGATTATTAGATGCTTGTTATACTAACATTTTCTCTTATTTCATATAAATAAGTTACATTTGATACATCTATAAGCCCACATCAAATTGACTACATTGTGTTATGATAGCTTCAATTTAACTCAATATTAGCTACTTCCAAATTCTTGTTTATGTGAACTTGCATTCATTAATTCACATTATAAGATTGCCTAACTTGATTAATTATAGAACAATATAGTTAAACAGGTTTTGCATATCATATAATTTAATTTACTTTGTATATATTAAAATTTGGTTGCTTCTCTTAGTAAATTTGGTTAGGTTACACCACATTTATCTCCAAAGGGAGATAAAGGTTAAAGCAATAAAATTTGGCAATGGAGGTCAGAAGGACCGTAGTTTGGCAATGGAGGTCAGAAGGACCGTAGTAGACAATGGAGGTCAGAAGGACCGTAGTAGGCTACGGAGGTTTACAGGACGTAATCGGTAGAAAAAAAAGATTATTTTCTGGTGATGGAGGTCGAAAGGACTGTAGTAGGCGATAGAGGTCAAAAGGACCATAGTTAGCATGCGACATGGGTAAAAAAGATCATTATCTGGAGATAGAGGTCAGAAAGATCGTAGTAGGCGACATAGATCGGAAGGATCGTAGTCGGTACGAGACAAGGTTCAGGTGGGAGTTCGGGCATCAAGTGGTGGTTTGGTGGAACTCCGGGCATTAGGTGGTGGTCCTGGGGAACTCCAATAATCAGGTGGTGGTTCAACAAAATACCAACGTCAGGTAGTGATCCGACGGAACTATGGGCATCAGGTGGTGGTCTGGCAGAACTTCGATCGTTAGGTGGTGGTCCGGTGGAACTCTAGGCGTCACGTGGTGGCCCGGTGAAACTCTAGGCATCAGATGGTGGTCTGGTGGAACTTTAGGCGTCAGGTAGTGGCCTGAGGGAACTTTGAGCATCATGTGGTGGTCTGACGGAACTCCGGGAGTCAGGTGGTGGCCTAGTGGAACTCCAGACGTCAGGTGGTGATTTGGCAGAACTTTGGGCGTCAGGTGGTGGTCTGATGGAATTATGCATGTTAGGTGGTGTCCGACGGAACTCTGACATTAAGTGGTGGTCTGGTGGAGTTCTAGGCATCACGTGGTGGTCTGGTGGAACTCCGGGCATCATGTGGTGGTCTGGTGAAACTTCGGGCGGAGGTCAAGGAGGAGCTAAGGGGTAAGATCGATCTTTGATCTCTCTCTTGCTCTCTTACAAGAGCAAGTTTTAGTCATTTTAAAATATTGATAATTAGTAAAAAAAGATTATTTTTTAATATACTTTATACATCATTTAAAAAATTTTCATGATCAGACACAAATCCCGAGGCAAACTCAAGTTGGAAACTTCCGAAATTAAAATTAGGACCATTCAAACTTCGATTTCAGCAAACTAACACTAGAACTGAACGTTTCGAGAATACAAACCCAACAACACCAAATTCGACTCAATCCGAGCCGAAATGGGTCCAAATCGAAGACCCGAAATGCATCTGTAAAGTTCAAACCATTAATTGGATGACCAAACAATTTCTAAACGTGAAATGCTTATAATTAAATGCAGTGATTATGGGTTACAAAAAGATTCTGCTTACGGGGTCAGAATGTAAAGAGTACGATCACACTATCCCGTAGAACAAAATAGTCATAGACCTTTATACTATATATAAGCAGGCCAATAAAAAAGTAGATGAGATTATACATATGATTAGTCATAGAGGATAGTAGCTTTCACCTGCACACCCCAATTGATAATAATAAGTATAACCCTATAATCACAAGATTTTTTTCATCCGATATATAAACTCAAATGGGGTCATATAATGAGCTAAATAGCCCAATAAGCCATCAAAAAACTTATAACTGAATTCAAAGTATGATAAAAGAGAATATGTATGTCAGGGATCAAATCATAGTAGTGGCATTCATATGATCATTAAATTAGTACATAAATAATTAAATTTATATATAACTATAGTAGAATCTATACACAATAAAATACTACGATACAAAAGTCAGTAAAATACTAAATAATATGAGTGTCAAATCTATAAAATAATCGTCTTATTCGTAATACCAATTAACACAGAAATTGGATAAAGCATCAAATTCAAACATCAGTAAAGGCTATTGAAATCAAATCAATATTGTAAAATCATATAGGACTGTACTCATACTATCCAGCTATTCTATATCACGTGTTTAGTATATTATATGCGTAGTATATATACAATGAATCAATTATATCAAATAGTATAAGTAAATAAATTAGTAACAATAATAATGCGGTGACAGAAGCAACATAATAATACAATAATATGAAATCCATATATTAATAATAAATTTGAACAATAATATATAAGAATAATTACTTAAGAACATACATTTTAGTAGTCACACAAAATAAGTAAGAAGTCTTGACTATCACGATATTTTTCAGTATAATATTGGTATCAGTAATCCATTGGCTCAGTAAATAAAGTTGGCACTTTTTGCCCGTTAGCATAATAATCATCTCTTTATAACTCTTAATCAGTATATCACGCGAATCAATAAAAGATAACACCAAGCCATAATATTTAAAGAAAAGTTTGTCGACCCACCATCCTGTGCAGATCAAGTAGTCTTAAACCAATTGATCAACTAGTCTTTATTTATCTTTTTCATACACATTATCATCACACTAGTACTATAACAATAATCTCAATCATATATTCACAATACTTTTCAATGTGTTGCAGTAAATAAAATATAATTAAGCTTAATTCATAAAATACTAAAATGTCATGACAATAGACAATAACAATCATATTAAGCAAAAATTCACATTTTAAAAATTTAATCAAATTATCATATATTGCATAAAATAACATTATGAATCTTCAGTTAAACTAAATCATTATTTTTATGCGTCAAATAAATTTTTTAATAGACAAAATTGATGTATTTTTAAATCACCTGCTGAAAAATCACAAATAAGTACTCAAAACATTCATAATTTTAATATCTATAACATATAAAAAGTTACATGGTGAAAGTTTTACCAATACAAATTTATTTTCATTTTTCTGTAATGAAAACACAAATTTGATTAAAAAAAACCAAAAAACACAACATATTTAAAATAAAAAATAAGATAAAGGTTCCTTATAGCATGCCGAGTGAATTTCCCAACTAGGCTGATTGACGAAAATCACACTGCGACCTCTAAAACCTAACTTTTCCTTTCTCACTTTTCTCTTTTCTCTCTAAATTTACTGAATATCTCTCTATTACCCGAAAAAGAATAGGAATAAGGCTTTAACATGGTTTAGTGACTTAGGATATTTTAATTAAAATAATAATTTAGTATTATATTATTAATTTAATTAATTTTTTTA